TGTCACCGTACCAACTCGTCTATGGCAAAGCCTGTCATCTGCCTCTAGAGTTGGACATGGACGTATCTCTAGCAGGAAATTCTAGGATTCTGCAACTGCATGAATTAGAAGAGTTTCGGAATTATGCGTATGAGAATGCCAAGGTTTACAAGGAACAGACCAAGAAGAGGCACGATGGGATAATCCAGAAAAAAGAGTTTTGGGAAGGACAACTGGTCCTTCTGTACAATTCCCGCTTGAAGCTATTCCCAGGAAAATTGCGGTCCAAATGGTCCGGACCCTTTGTGGTTCATAAGGTGTTTCCGTATGGAGCGGTCGAGATTAAGAATCAAGCCAATGGAGACATCTTCAAAGTTAATAGGCAGAGACTTAAGCCTTATTTTCAAGGTCAAAAGGTTGGACAGGTTGAGGTCATTCGTCTTACTCAGTAGGACAACGGACCGTCGAGCCACGCGACGATAAACGCAGCGCTACGTGGGAGGCAACCCACGATTTTATTTAATTTTTGTTTGTTCATTTTGTAGGTCTGTAGTTGATGTGTCTCACTGATCAAGCCGGAAAGAGAGGTGTCGAATAAACGGGGTTGAAAAAGCAGCAAAATTCATGATTTGGTGTGATTTCAGAGCCCTGACACGGCCACCCGTGTTGCTTGACACGGCCCGTGTCAGGAAATGGTTTTAAAAGTTAATTTCGTGGCAGAACAGGGATGCAACACGGGCGCCAGTGTCGTGCAACACGGCCCGTGTTGTGGCTACTGAAGATCATGGTTTGGAAAATTAATTTCGTGGCAGAACAGGGATGCAACACGGGTGCCCGTGTCGTGCGACACAGCCCGTATTGTGGCAACTGAAGCTTTTCCTTTATTTATTTTTCACAGTAGCATACCAGGGGTCTGACACGGGTGCCCGTGTCGTGCAACTGAAGTTTTTAATGATTATTATTCCCTGGTTACCCGTAATCACCATTTGTTAGCTTTACCTGCTCCTGATTTTATTTCTATTGACAAACAAGCTAACTGCGTGTGCGCAAGTCCTATGCAAGACGATGGAGAAAATTTTGATGCTTGTGCAGGTTCGGAAGGTGAAGCGGATAATCAACCTGGTGAGGACCCTATCCCAGAAGAGACTCCTATGCCGAATCCTGGTGACTCGTCGACCGGTTTGTGGAGCATGACCAAAAACGAATGGGATTGGATGCACGATCAGATGTGCTATATCCGTAGTGAGCAGACAAGGCAAGGCGATGAGCAGAAAAGAGACAGGGAGGAGCAGCTCCGCCAAGGGAAGCTCATTGGGGAAATGCATGAGTGGATGCAACAGATGCGGTTGCACGGCCAACAGCCACCTCAGTGATCTCAGTGAGTCCCCTCCTGCACTCGTTCTTCAACCGTGAGGACACTGTTGAGTTCAGGTGTGGGGGGTATTTATTTGTTTATTTATGTGTTTTGCTTTGTTATTCTAGTTTTCTTTTAGTTTTCTTTCCTCTGTGTCAGTTTTCTTTTGAGTCAGTAGTTATTTTAAGTTGCTTGTTTGGAAATATGTTGGAAATCCGTTGTGAAAACACCCCGACTTGGATGGAAAAATTAATTAGTGCTGCGTATTGTATTTGGTTTTTGCGAGTGAAGTGAGGAGAAAGTATGTAGAGTTGAGTGAAAAGAAACCGGTTGGGGAAATTAGAAAAATCTTGATGTTGAGGTATAACACGAACACACTGAGTCTTCTGAGTAAGGAACGAGTCTAACGTGTAGATTTGTGCCATGGTACTTTGATCTGAGAAGTATGCCCCGAATAGTTTCTACTGACAGTCAGGCTTAATCTATACTAAGTGTGTGTGCAAGGTTGATCGAGAAAAATTGTTGAATAAAAAAAAAGAGCACCGAAAAAATGAATAAAGACAATTAGACAATCGATCCTTCTAAGTTGGGTAACCCTCACCCGGTTATTCAGCCTAACGGCGGTTGAACCTAAAGTTCGTCCCTAAAGGGACAAGAAAAAAAAAGGGGTGTAAAGAAAAATACATTTGATCAATCTTGTGCATACAACGAAAAATCATAAAAAGCCTTAAAAATGATTGTCCGAATGAAAAGGGTAGAAAATCGAAAAATAAGACCTAAGCCCAAAGCATAGTTAGAGAGGTTACCACAAAGGAGATTGAGGTCTGTGGTACACTTCGGTTTAGTGTTCGTGCGATACCTTGATTGAGAGAGAAGTACCAGAAAGTATTCATCCGGTGACTTAGAACGAAAACTCACATACGAGTATCATCGTTTCATCCGCAAGTTTTAAGCTATTGATTGGGTTATTAAGGTGCTATGCAAGCCTATTGCTTGAGGTCAAGCAAAAGTTCAAGTTCGGGGGAGTTTGATCAGTGATCTTTTGTCGTACTTTCCAAGCAGGTTTTAGTGTCGTTTCTTGTGTTTTCATGAGTTTTCTTTTAGTATTTTAATTATGTTTCATCAGTATTCTCTGATTAGGATAAGCAAGTCATGTGTCCATGTTTTCATCATTTTTATCGTTGGTGCGTGTAATTTGTTTGTTGTTTCAAGATGTTTCAGGTTTCTGTCTAGTTGGCTATCCGACACCAATGCGAAAATGATCCAAATACAGAAGAAACACATGAAAACGAAGATTTCAGAAGTGTGACACGGGTGCCCGTGTCGTGCAACACGGCCCGTGTCGTGGCACCTGCAGAAGATGGAAAACATGACAAACCAGCAACACAACACGGCCACCCGTGTTGTACAACACGGACCGTGTTGTGTCCCCTGAAGGCGTGGATTTTATTCTGTGAAGCAGCGACCTGACACGGCCACCCGTGTCACACAACACGGCCCGTGTCAGGGCATCCGGAGGCAAAATTTCTATTTTTTGACATGCTGACTGGGACAAGTTTGAGGGCAGTTTGGACATTTCTTTTAATATTTTAGAATATTGTTATATTAGAGACTAGGGTTAGAGAACCAGGGGGAGGAAGGTATTGGAGAGAGCTTAGAGTGGTGATTCAAGGAGAAGAAGGATCGATCAAGAGCGGAAGCAATCGACGATCCAACCTATCCAAATCCTATTGTAATGACTTTTCTTCTTGATTCTGTTTTCATTAGTATTTTGAACATGAGTAGCTAAACCTCCCAATGTCAGGGAGGTGTCCCTGATTTTCTTTGTAATGACTAATTGATGTTTCGTAATATGAGTTTTATGTTTAAACCTTATTCTTTATTGTGTGCAACGTTTTTAATGCTTAATCTGCTTGGAAGAAATGATTATTGATTGTAATTAGGGTTGGCATGATCAGCAATCCTAATCCTGTTGCATCACTTTTATCATAGTCGATATTCCTAAGGAATTAGAATACCCTCTGAATACCTGTTTTTTATGTCTGAACTAGTGCTTGATATTCTCTCTCGGCATCTGAGGAATTAGGGCAAAGAGAGAATACCAAAGGTTTTTCTTAAAAGGAATTGCGGAAAAATAACTTTAGGCATAAGGAAAGAAAAGGTGAAACATAGCTTTTTAGAATAACGAAACAAATTGGTCATTGTATCGCGATTCATACACCGCCCGGGCATTATTCTCATCGTCACATATAATCTTCTCGTAAATTTAGTTTTCGTATTATTGTAGCTCGAAACAAACAATCAACCATTGCTTTTGTTCAATTGATATTCATTCGAACAAACTTAATTTCACTGTGCAGTCCTCAAGAGATCGACTTTGGGGTTTTTCCCATTATTACTACATCGATAAAATAGTACACTTGCTATTTTACCGATCATATCACTAGCGTAATATCTGACCAGTGTGTTCCACACAACCTTTGATGTTTTAGAGTCAGCAATCTTCTCAAACACATTTGCGTCCACACAGTGATGGATGTAGAACAATACTTTCTGATCTTTCTTCCTTATCGCCTTCTGCGTTGTCTTCTGTGCCTCCGTCACGTCTGCTGCTAATGAAACATAGCCATCGATGACAAGATCTAACACATTTTGAGAACCAAACAACACACGCATCTGGATCTTCCAACGATTCCAGTTTTTGTCATCAAATACCGGAAGCTTGGAACTGATATCGCTGTTTCCGTTCATCTTCAATCTTGTGCAGTTCACTCAAAAAATCACTAACACACAATGTTTCCCAAATCCCACATAATTATAAAAAAAATGTGATTCTCAATCACACGACACCTCACTGTTCACTCGTGTTTCTCGTGTTTCCTCGTGGATTTCGAACCGAAACTCTAGATACCAATTGTTGGTGCACAAATGAGAGATGGAAGACAAAAGGAATATTGAATGACAACTATAAAAATAAGGAGTACTGAATACATTGACATACCTACTACTAAACTATTTATACACAATATTAAAATATAATAAAATAATAAAATACCTTCTAACAAACTTTGTCAACAAAACATTATTAAAATATAAATTATCTCTAATAATCTGGTACACTAAAAGTTCCAAAGTGAAACCTCATTCTTCTACATACCAACCTCTCCCCCATGATATTATCCTAATGACTTGAATAAGATAGAGCTTATGGAAACCTAACTCTAAAGGTCCTCTCAAAAGAAAGTGAGAAAGTTTGACCCCACTTTCTTTCGCATGCTCGGAAACAGTGGCATTCTGATTTTCTTTTTTTAAATGTGACATTTTGATATTTTAATTTTAAAATAGTGGCATTGGAGTAATTTGATAGCAGTAAAAGGCAAAACTGCAAAAGAAATGTCCTATAGAATATTCCCAAACTTTTGAGTATATCCAACTACTCTATACGAAATCATGTTTCTCTTACCTTACTGTGTGCCACCGAATCCAAGGTACACAAAATGTAACAACGCCCCTAGTTTATTTTCTCACGTAGTAAATCACACGGACCCTACCAAAACATTATAAATGTCTCCATTAGCTCATTAGTCTCGATATTGAAAACACAAATTCAAACAAAGAAAAAGAGTGAGAGAGAGAGAGAGATAGTTACTCACTAGTGCTAAGAAAAATGGCTGCAATTTTAGAACTATGGGTTGGTGAGTTTTCAAAGATCAAAGAAAAAGTTAGTATCCCCCTAAAGCCTTTCTTCTCAAAAGCCAAACAAACAACAACAGAACAAAACAACAAGGAGAGCGTTGATGTTCCAAGCAGAAACAGCTCTTCACGTGTCTCTTCAACCATGTCAGAGGAAACCGTCTGTTTGCTTATGGATCGATTCGTTCCTTGGTAATAATGGTTTCTTGTGGTTTTTTATTACAAGATTAATTAAGATGCATGGTTTTTATTGTATATATACTCGACTGACCTATGTATATTGTTCATCAGTTTTCATTGTAATCAAAATTTACTTTTCTTGCTCTTTTTCTGTGTGTGCATATCAAATATTTATTTTGGTTATGGATTAGTATCGGATGAAAGGATTCAAAACATGTTTAGATCCAGAAGCACTAGGGATTTCCCAGTTTTGGGTTTTTGATTTTTGATGTGCATAAAAGTTAGTAAGAGCCTACAAGATATTATTGTTGAAAAAGTTCTCTGGAAGATACAGTATTTGTCGAATCTAATAAAAATCAGGTCTCTATTTGAGAAAAAAAAAATCATTTTCTGGTCAGTATTAAATGGAATTTCTTGTTAATAAAGATTTTCTTATTTATCAGTAATGAAGTTTTGAGAGATACGTTTGGCTGAGTAGCATTTGCTTTGCTGCAGATAACAAATTGAATTTAGATCGACAATTTAAATTTAATCTCAATATTTTAATATAAAAATATTAAAATATGCATTATTCTGAGTCATTTGATTCACATCCGACAGTCAGCACTGCTCCAACTGCGTGAAGGAAAATATTAACCGCAAGGAATCATATTTTAGATTTGACTGCCAAAATTTTAGGGAATTTCTTTCTCCTTTATATTTTCTTAACAATTTTTCATGAAATTCCGTCTTTATTTTTTTTATAAATCGGGAGTCTTTATTTTTTTTATAAATCGGGACTATTTCGGAGATACATATTAGAATTAGAACATTACAGGAATAAATACGAACAACCATCCTTTATTCTTATCTCTTCAAAATTCTAACTATCAAACACCCAAAAAACCTCTAAAATCTCTACTTTCAAAACTCATTCAAGTTTGTCTACTTATTTGAATTTGTTACAACTCACTCAAACTCTCAATTTCAACACATTTCAACAACTCTAAAAGCTTCAAATTTGAGTAAGTTCTTCGATTCCTTTTAATCTTTGCATTTGTATTTTAAATTGTTTACATTATGTATAACTTGTAAAAAAATTTGCTTTTATGTGTAAAAATTAGATTTTGGTATAAAAATGATGTTATTAGGTTGGAGTTTTAGTTATGGAAGTCGCAGGTTTTTCCGGAGATGCACCTCTAAAAATAGGTCTGAGTTATTTTTTTTAAAATAATTTTTCAAACATGTTCTTGCTCGTTCGCTTCCCTTTAACGATTATTTGTTTTTCCAGAAAAATAGCAGAGAACCCCAACAGTTGAGATTTGGTAGACCTAGTCAAACTGCATCCGCTCGATGAGAGATCACCGAGAGATTATCCAGTTTGACTCCATCTCACTATACTCTAGGTGGCTGGTATGTGAGATTAACAATATGGTCATGTATTTGCTAAAGCGATGCATGCAACAGTTTGGATATGTGCAAATCATATTCAGATCTTCCTTTCAGGCTGCTCTCCACACTATTGTCTGTTGGGAGCTCGATGACATCTTTCAGGATTGAGAGAATCATATGGTGCTAGAGGAGTCTCGGATGATACATACATCCAGCAGTTGACACTGCGTTGAGAGATACGTGACATGGTTTTACACAGTGTTACATTCTATCATGACACTGGATGCTCCTGAACGTCCATCTAGGCCAACTCATGATGAGATCTTAGAGAACCAGCAGGCCGAGGATGACCATGTCATTGATCTCTTACCGGTCTGTCAGCGGATACAAATGATTGGGCGAGAGGCTTTGGACATATGTATCATTGACCGGGGCGGTTCTAAGGCGATGTCCATTATAGAGAGGATGGTTGGAGAGGCAGAGAGTGCGGTGAGATATAGTAGATAGAGAAGGGGACATGGAGTGATGATCACGCATACACAGTAAGCTATATCTTTTTTTATTTATTTCAGAATAATTTATAAATTACTTATTGTATTATTTTCTTTAAACAATTTATTGTGTCTATTATCATTTTTCATTTCCTGTCGTCAACAAATTGACTTATGCTCTCATGGATAAAAGATAATAGTCATTTGATTTAGATCCGATAATTTAAATTTATTTTCAATATTTTTAATATAAAAATATTAAATATGCATTATTTTGAGCCATTTGATTGAAATCGGACTGTCAGCGCTGTCCCAACTGCGTGACTTCAATAAAATATTAACCGCCAATGTTTTAAAACCTAGACCGGTGATCGACTCGGTAAAGTTACTGGGTCACTGGGTTACTGGTCGGACCAGTGGGTCACTGGTCAGACCGCATGGCTTTTGACCCAGTTTCTATAAAAAATATATTCATTACCTGAAATTTGTAACTATAATAATATAGAAAATTATAAATTCAAATAATTTAGAATAAACAAAAGTATTAGTAACAATCAAAGTAAGTGATAGAAACTTAATGTAGCAAATTATAAATTCAAAGAAGTGATAGAAACTTAACAATTCATAAGTTATAGTATTATAATAAGTCACAAAAATCCATACTCAATGATCCATAATTTTTTATGTCCATGAAGTCAAATTGTCATAATCTTGATATTCATATCCATCTTCAACTTCATTGTCTTCTCCACCAACTTCATCTTCTCTGATGTTGCTTTTTTCTTGATTCACAGTATCAACAATAGTATCTTGTGCATTACCCATATCTCCATCTTCATCCTCATCTAAATCTATTTGATCTATAACAATATTTTAAAAAATAATTAACAAATTTTTTTAGAGATGGTAAATATGAGACATTAAATTGATTCACAACCACAAACTATATTATGCTCATATTAGAACATACCAATATCACTTGAAATTGGTTGAATGGTCATATTTGCAAGGTCATTCCACAATGCTTCTAACTCTTCATTAGTTAAGAGAGGTGGTGAATCCTCTAATACCCAACTAGAATGGTCGGAAATTATTTCAATATTGATAGGATCATAACTCCCATTTCTTATTTTTCCCAAGCACACATGAATTAAATCTAAGTATATGTATTTAAATATAAAAATATAATGATCAGAGAAAAATAACCATAATAATACCTATTTTGAAGTCTCAAGTTGTAACGAACAAACACTAAATCATTAAGCTTTTGGTGCTCCAATCTATTTCTTTTTTTGGAATGAATATGCTCAAATATAATCCAATTGCGTTCACAATCCGAAGCACTATAAGTTTGGCTTAAAATACGAATAGCTAACCTTTGCAAAGTTGGTGTACAAGTGCCATAAGTTTCCCACCATTGATCTGTTTATACCATGTGATTAAATAAATTTATAAACATATTGAAATATAAAATAAAATATATATCAAGAGTTAGAAGTTATGAAATTACCTACCCTCACAATACATCGTTCATCCACGACTGATTTCCTTCCAAAATCTAATTCACCATCTTTGAATATTCTCATCTCATCTGTTAACTTCAATCGAAGTTCAGAATTTCCATTAGCATACTTTTCAATAACATCTAAAAGTCCTGATGTTGTGGATGCATGTTTTTCAAATTCTACATCATTATATCTACAAGCTGGATTCAACCAATAACTGACAGCATGAAGATTTTTGCGGAGCTATGAATCCCAACGTTTATCTAAGATTTTCAAGTAAGGATCCACTTTCTTCTTATTTCTTTGAAACCTCCTCACCATCTCCTCTCTAGCTTTGACTATAGATTTATATAGAATGCCCATAGCAGGTTTATCTTCACTATCAACAATACGCAACACACGCACAAGTGGTTCAGTGAATTTAACTACATCAGCATATTTACTCCAAAATCCAGAATCTAAAACTTGATCCACAAACTGTTTTGCCTTTGCTTCTTTGGCAGATGCTGAGCTTGTCCATTCTTTAGATGTTACCATGGCTCTTAGTGAGTTTTTGTGAGACAAAATACTTTGCATAGCAATGAAATTAGTGACAAACCGAGTTGGAGCAGGACGAAGGATTTCTCTTCCACCTGTTTGCTTTCTCATTAAATACAATGCATAACAATGGTTATAAATATATTTGGTAACATTAGAAGCATGTGCCACTGTCTCACTTACTTCCTCTAATTTTCCCATGTCTTGCAACATCAAGTTAATGCAATGTGCTGCACAAGGAGACCAAAATAAAGTAGGAAACTCATTTTCTAATAACCTTCCAGCAGCAACATAATTTGCAGCATTATCTGTCACTATGTGAACTACATTTTCAGGCCCAACAAATAAAACCACCTCTCTAAAAAGCTTATACAACATATCTGCAGTTTTTGAAGCATGAGAAGCATCAACGGATTTTAGAAAAATAGTACCTTTGGGACAATAAACTAGAAAGTTTATAAGAGTTCTTCTTTTTCGATCAGTTCATCCATCGGCCATTAGAGTACAACCAGTTTTCTTCCAAATCTTACGATACTCCTCTATCAATTTGTTCACATCTTCAATCCATTTATTTAACAAATAGCCACGAAGACTATGCATAGTTGGAACTTTATACCCCGGACTCATGCTGCAAAGTGCATCGGCCATAGATTGAAAATACGCAGAATTAGCTGCATTGAATGGCACAGAAGAATCAACGAACCATCTTGCAATAGATAGATCACACTTCTCCACCAATTCCTTACTTTGTAACACACTTTTTAAAGAAGTTTGAGCTCCAGGAGTTGTTCTAGGCATACAATAATTACCAATACGACTAGTATTCTTTCTCTTTTGAGACACAAACACCGAATTTGATCTTGATTATTCTACATCCATTTCTACTACACCACCCTCTTGAGTAGTAAGATCAACATCAAAATTTTGTGCTTGAGTCTTTCTTCTCTTATTTGCACCTTCATCAAGATTTTGTTTCATTTGATATTGAACATCTGGAGGCACCTTTTTATATGTTTTCAACTTGACCTTTTATTCCATCCAAATGGAATTTGAACCTATTAATCCCCCCTCCTCTAATAATTTTATCACAGTAAATACACAAATTAACAAGT